CGGGGGAAAACCGGTTGAATATAGTTACACGGTCTAGGGGGGGGAAAACCAAAAAAAAGTTTAGGTGCTCGAGCTGCTAACGCGCTGACGTCTCTAAGTCGTTTCTTTGAGTTAAGCTGTGATTTCGTTTATCGCTCCCGAATGGACAAGTGGTAAGGTTAACGTGTTGTTTTCTCTCAAGAGAAAGGGATGAAGATCATTGTTCAATTGCGCCGATCTGATTATATTCTCATTGAACCCGTAATGAATTACCATATAATAATTATTGTTAGTCCCTATATTTAAAAGTGGTTCATCTCTCTCTCTCTCTGTCTCTATCTATATGTCGTACCATCTATCTTATCCTATCTATCTATCTATCTATCTATCTATCTATCTATACTATCTACCTATGTATCTATCTATCTATCTATCTAATCTTCTGATTCTATTCTATCTACTCTATCTATGCTTGCTCATATCTTCTATCTATCTAATCTATCTATTCTATCATCTATCTATCTACTCTAATCTGACTATCTAGTCTATTTTTCTATCTTAATCTATTTATATCTATACTCCTATCTATTTCTCTCTCGATATAGTATATATTAAGAGTAGATAATCAGGGAATCCCTATTATCTACTTCCTGAGTATAACTAATATATATATATATATATATATATAATAATATATAGTTTAAGAGCATCCCTGCATGAATACATGTGTGGATTATGCTGCTGTGCGACCGGGCAGAATGGTGGAATGCATCACATTTCCTACACTATACCGTAGACATTATGTAGACGTATGTTCAGATTGTATAGATGTTTTTTTCAACAGCAATTACCTCACAGCACTATGCGAATAATTACATACGCGCACCTTGCATCCGTATATGTGACATTGCCTGGTTTTATAGTGTGTAGTTCGGCGGCGGGAATATGAAATATTTTATTTGCTATTATGTATGGTAAATGTGCGACCATCCGACTATCGCACTGCTCGGTCACGTAAAACGTTCGGGGCGGCATATCGCACACGCGGATGCGCACCCACAGGCTCCTAATAACACCCCCACTCCCCTCTCTCCAGCGCGTATTACACCGTAATGGCAATAACCGGAACTAGCGGATGTCCGGCTTACAGGTTGTACGGCTCGTACGAGGCGCTCAAGTACAATACGATAGTAGACGGACTCACCGACCTGACCGGGGGTGTGGTGGAGACGATGGACATGAAGGATGACCCCATGGCCTGCAGCATCCTGCTACGGAGCATGCTGGACGTGTCGTCTCTCGTAACGTGTTCCACGCCGAACGTACGTGGCTCTCCCTCCTGCAATCATCCGCACCTCATACGCATCTCTACAGATCTATTACCGTGCTGTTGGGCGGGGGTTCCTTGGGCGGGCTCTACCCGCGTAGTCCTTCGCTTCCGCTACAGCCTACAGGGCTATACGACTTAACGGTGCTGCGAAACGGTAGTGAATTATTGCAGTATGGCAGACTGAGTTGTAGCCTGCGATAGTAAAATACGCTATCCGGCGAGATAAACGTCTCGACTTTAGCCAGCCACCCTAAATTCAAACATAACTCGTTTTATTTTGGTCAGATTGGGCGGTTTATCGAACCCAAATGACCCCCGAAAAACAATTACGCGCCCATGTGTGATAGAGGCGACACTAGTGAGCGGGTACCAGCCTTGTTACGCTGTAGAAATCCACTGCCGTATAGCACTTTGGGTCATGTAGCCCGATAGCGGAAGCGAAGGGCTGGCTACACGGGTAAAGCTGGACACGTCCTCCCCCCCTAATGTGCTCTATAGCGATGGTAAACCCCTTCACGCGCGCCCATGACCCCTCATCACACCCGCGTCTCTTATACACAGATTAGCTGGATGCGTGCATATGGATGTTGGCACAACGCAGTGTGACAAATGTATTCACTGCCGAGCACAGCGAGTTCCTCTGTAATTATTTCGGTGCGAATGATTGCATTAGATTCAAGCTGTGGCAGCCGTGCCTCGCTCTATGGCTACCCCGTGCCATTTGTTAACGACACGCGGGTTATTCCCTTTATGTTCACCCCTGTGTAAGAGCAAAGGCAGCTATAGAGCCGATGTCTATGGCAGGATTGCAACACGAGTACCCAATACGGTCGAGCAAAGGAAGTAATTCCACTAATAGCGCGGTTCTTCTGTTGTGTATGTGTGTATAACGATCGAGTACATATTTCAGCCTGCGAAAGGAAGCGTCCCGGAAATACTCCCCAATGGATTATCGTTGGGAAGAAGCTATCGAGTTATTCAACTAGAAAAGGTATTACCTTTCGACGGAAGTCTAATAAAAATTAGAATAAATAATGAATAAGAACGATAAGCGATCGAGCGAACACTAATAATTTCATTATTAACTAATGAATGTTATTCAAACTGCGCTAATGATAAATGGTTCACTAATGACATGTGATTGCTCCTCTGAAATTTGCGTAAGAAATGCGAGTATGCGACTTGGCAGTTTTATTATGAAATCGAAATGATAAAAGTCTATAAATGAATAACGGACTTTGTCCAACATTCGCACAACCTATAACCGAATATATCAGTCAAATCATCACTATTCAATTGTACGTAAATTACTAGAACATCAGGGTGCTAACCAATCTAATACCCCATACTCCCTAAATCCCTAGCTATTAATGAAATGCAACTTCCCTACTGCTTATATGTAACTATTATACTTAATTAAACCGTGTATAGGTGTCCACGTCGATGGATGAGAGTATACAGCTAGTGCGACTGCGTAATCCATGGGGTGCTGCAAATTATAGCGGTGCCTGGCAGGAGGGGTCGCTGGAGTGGAACACCGTCTCACAAAAAGACAAGGACGCACTGGGCATTGGTCTTAAAGCCGACGGAGAATTCTGGCAAGCGCATTGACACGCGCTCGCGCACACGCCGACATGCACGCACGCACGCACACGCCGACATGCACGCACGCACGCACACATACACGTGACAAGCACTTGAGCTTCGGTTTCTTTAAATACGAACATCAAACGAACTAATGACGTAAATAAATGTCATGACGTCAATCAGTTACATAACTCTTTTAATTACTCGGCGTATTATATATACGTACATCGAGTATAATTTACCGAGCACGCATTTCTTAATTGACAACCCATTATTCCGAGATTATAACGTATTCTCGACTAATTGTGTAGGATGCCGTATTACGACTTCGTGAAATGCTTCGCTAGTCTTGAGCTGGTGCACATCGCGTGGGAGACCGTTCAACTCGAGCCGACGCTCAACAAGAAGAAGCCGTGGGAATTGCAGACCTTTCACGGACGATGGTGCAGAGGCGTTACTGCCGGTGGTTGCAGAAACCACGCAGGTACGGATGGCGCGGGCGCAGTGCGTAATGGCAGAAGCGTAGGTAAACCATTTTGCCTGGTGGGAGGGGGATCATCAAGGCCACGTGGGTAGGTGTGTACTGGGAAGGTGACCACCATTGACTATGTAATGTATCTATATTTCTGCTGGAGAGAGCAACAACTACCCCCTTGCCTTCCGCTAGCTACAGCCCTGAGACCGAGGGTGTGGGGTGGGGGCGTGCGCTATCCCTTTGGTGCCCTCGGTGTGCAAATCCTCTGAACGACACGTGTGTGTGTGTGTGTGTGATGTGGTGTGTTGTGTGGGCTGCCGCGTGATGTGTTTGTTTGGGTCGTGGCTGCGTGCCGCAGCGGGTGTTGTTTGTATCGTGTGTGTGTGTGTTGTGCGTGCGTGCGTCGCGCTGTGGTGGTGTGTGCGTCGTTTGCGTCGCTGCGCGTCGTGTAGTGCGTGCGGTGCGCCATGCAGCGCGTGTGCATGTGCGTGGTGTATGTGTGTGTGTGTGTGCACACAACACTGTTGCGCGTGTTTGTGTGATGTCTGTGATGTAGGGGTGTGATCGGGTTTGGCTGCGTGTGGCACATATATAGTGTGTGTGTATGTGTGCCTGTGTGCCTGTGTGCTGTGTGTGTGTGTGTGTGTGTGTGTGTGTGTGTTGGTGTGTGTGTGATGTGAGCTGTGTGTGGTGTGTGTGTGTGTGGTGCATCGATTGTGGGGATTCAGCAAGCTAACAATGTTGAGCTATGTGAAGCTGCGCCGCAAGATGCGTAGCGCACGACACTTCGCATTTCCACTTGCATTGATGAATCAAAATCAGACACAATCGCTTTTAACTCGACCAACATCCATCTCGCCATCGGCCATTGCTCTAGATTGCACGCTTTTCTGCTCTACTTGCATGCTGAGTCATCGTCAAGCTATTTATATCACGGTAAACACAAACTATTTATCCGATTACAAGCAGTAAAGTCGGGGGGCGTGGTAGGTTTCCGCTGCCGAGGCATAACACTCGGCATGTTTTTTGATACAAGGAAGACAATGCTCACTGTCGAGCGAGGAGACATTGTCTCATGCGAACACAGCGTTCTGCTAAACACACCTGTACACAGGTGCATAGGCTCATGCGCTAACGTTTTAATTGCGTCGTTGCGGCTGTCGTTACAGACACGACAGTAACGACAGCCGCACCGACGCAATTAAATCGTTTCTTTTCCGCATTGCTTTCAGAGACGTTCTACACGAATCCGCAGCTACTGCTGACAGTGTCGGAGGCGGACGACGTTCTAATCTCCCTGCAGCAACACAACAGCTACGACCCGCACGTCATAGGCTTCTCAGTCTACCAGGTGTGTCAAATTCTAAAGCTATAGCGACATTTATGCAAAACGTTTCATTTCTTTCGCGCACAACTATCATGAAGAGTAAATAATAGAATGAAATAGTATAAATCACCAATGATATACTCACAATATTATATATATATATATATATATATATGTATATATATATATATATATATATATATGTATCACTCTGCTATAATCACAATAAGCGCGTAGAATATGCTGAAGTTTACCTCGTGTAAAAAAACATATTCTAATTAACTGAAAACTTTGTTTAGCATTAGATTTCTATTTGCCTATCTGCGGTCGCCATCTTGTCACAGAATAACGCCATACGTAGCCGAAAATTCGAAAAAATCCGTACTGTTTTCCTGTGATGATTTATAATATATATATAATACTGTGTTACGCAGCTAACCAAAGTTATCGCCGAGCGACTGCCGGTCAACTTCTTTCAGAACTACGTTGCCAAGTATCACTCCCGGTACACCAACAGCAGGCAAATAACTCATAGGTGAAACACTTCGACAACTTCGAATAAATATCACTTCACGTGCCGCCGATCTATCGGTGTATTACTCCGTTGGGCATAATATCAAGAGCTAATAATACATTGTTATTAGCTCTTGATTATATTCGTTGATATGTCAGTTTTGGCATGTTCAGCATTGCATGTAATTACAATGTAGTGTAGTTCATAGTATTCGGTGCGCAATAGTCACTAATTGAAGTGGTTATTGCAATTAGATTCACGGAAAATTATAATTTTGCGCACAGATATTGGCTCCCACAGGGGCGATACGTCATCATGCCAACCACGCATGAGGCAGGCAAGGAAGGGGGTTTTACCGTACGAATCAGCAGTTGTACACAAGTGAACCTACAGTGAGTAACTCGCAACAAGTTCGTTGCTTTTATGTTGAACGTCTCGTTTTTCGTAACCGGCGCAAACCTTTTATATTGCGTGTATTTATGATGACAAGACACTTTTAATGCGCTCGTGTTATATATGCCTCGGGTGAGATGTGCTGTGTGAGCCTTTTCATGGCAAAGCGCTGTGATATTTTATCAATAGTTCCATTGAATATCTTCGGCTTTCTAATCTATAGGTTGCTAGATGACACCACTGCTGTGACGAAGACGGTACTGATAAAGGCACGTAGTCGTCACATTATATGAACACATATGTCACCATTACACTTCGTCGAATACATTATTCACTAAAAAATTCAATAACAATGTACTTTTCGATTAATAGCATCAGCTTATAAACCTGTTTCCCAAGAATATAATATAATTACTTAATATGATTTATATATATAAAATATAACATGATTATCGTATATTATTTAATGTAATATGTAATATCATATTTATGTATTATATATTGCATTACGAACAGGCGCCACAGAGATCTGGGGCCGAATCCTACGAGAACATATTTCTGCAGTATGCCGATGAACAGAGACAGGTGGATGTGTTTTGTCTCAGTCAAGCCCTCAAAGTGTGCTTGCCGAAAGGTACGCTATGAATGCTTCCACACCCGATTAAGATTGTATCGTGTTATTTTAATATGATTTAAATTCGTTAGGCTCTCTCTGTCTTCGTTACAGTCCCTTCTACTATGAAGTGCAGTCTTCGTTTCGTGAGGCTATCAAGTTTATAATTTCATGACCAAAAACCAAAAGGCTATATATATATATATATATATATATATATATATATATAATACGAGAGAGAGATGAGAGAGAGAGAGAGAGAGAGAGAAGAGAGCAGAGAGCGAGAGAGCGAGAGAGCGAGAGAGAGAGAGAGAGAGAGAGGGGGGGACTACACGATTTGAGTTGAGACCATTTTTTGTTTGCTATTATCTGCGACAGATGTTAGTGACTGCTCAGACTTGAACATCTGTCGACGTGTTATTGCCGCACTTGAAGTGAGTTAGAAAGAAGCGAAGGCATGTAGAAACTTATAAAAAGAAAGGCAATAAGGTAGAGTAATAGTATAGACACAGAAAGGACTATATGTATGACTGAAGTCAGCGTAGGCATTGTAGAAATGAGCGCAGCATGTAGAACGGAGCGAAGGCCGTGTAGCAAGGAGGCGAAGGCGTGTACTAGAATGGAGCTGAAGCGAGTGTAGCCCAACGAGGGAGCGAAAGGCCCGCTGTAGAAAGGACCGCCGAAGTGCGTGTAGAGAAGGCAGTCTCGAAAGCAATGTAGAAAGAAGGCGAAGCGTGTAGAAAGGAGCGAACAGTCCGTGCGTAGTATATGAACCAAAGGAGGCGAAGGCGTGTAGATTACACGTGCGCATTGACGAAGCGTGTCAGCAACAGGACAGGCGACACGCAAGTCGCGTCTATGAAAGCATGCCGACAGGTCGTGCCTTAGATAAGAAGCGTATGGCTGTGTAGCGACGGAGCGAAGGCGTGTAGAAAGGAGGCGCGAGATAGGCGTGTAGAAAGGAGCGATAGCGAGCTATGTAGAAAGGAGCGAAGCGTGTAGAAATGAGGCGAAGGCTGTAGAAAGGAGCGAAGGGCATTAGAAAGGAGGACGAAGTGCCATGTAGAAAGGAGCGGAGAGCACTGTTAGCATAGTGACCGAAGTGGTCCTAGTGTAGGAACGAGCGAGCGAAGCATCCGCCAAATAAAGGAGCGCGAAGGCATGTAGAAAAGGAGGAAGGCACACTGTAGATACAGGATAGTGACAGGAATAGCTAAGAGTCGCCGGAGATGACCGAGGTCATGTCACAATGAAAATGACGCCTCGAAGGCATGTAGACAACTGAGGAGTCTACCATGAGCTGTAGAAAGGGACGAAGGCATGTACACGAAAGGAAAGGAAGGGCATGTAGACCGCCACATGGACCCTGGTCTGGACGTATGCGCCAATGCCTGTATGTGTCTAATAATCCATGGAGCGAGGCATGTAGAAAAGGAGCGAAGATAGAGCCGCACCGACAGAATGCATGTAAGAAATCCGATGTCGCTAAAAGGTCCAGTTCAATCGCACACTGAGAAGTCGAAGACCTAGATAGCGAGAAGGCACGTAGAACGCGGAGGCGAGAAGGCATCTCGACTGAGTAGATAGGAGTTTAATATCTAAGATAGGGCAAAAAAGATACACACTAAAGTTTTTCTTAACGTAGGCAATAACGCTCGATAGTAACAGCTGGGCAAGCACGCCGTAGACGGGGACCGAAACATCAGTAGCTAATGAAAGGACTGCCCGCAAAGAGCTTGCGTATGGTTAGAAGTACAGCAGAAGACTCACCTGGAGCGAGGCACGGATTGATCGGCAAAGAAAAAATTATTGAGAGCGACGAGAACGATAGGACATAGTACATGAAGGTAGGCAAATGAGCAGGAGAAGCGACACTCTGATTAAGATAGCAAAGACGCAAAGGCGAGTTAGAGGATAGGAAGGACGAGAAGGCATTACGCGAGACAAAGCGAACGAATAGTGACGCGTGTCACAGTAGAAAGTAGTGTCGAAACAGGCATAGATGAGCGATATGGAGGTAGTCAGAACAGAGCCGGCAGCTATGCACATAATAGTAGAGGCCAGATGAGTCGCTTGAAAAGCGCCACTGATAGAAAGGAGCGAAGTGCAAAGGCAAAGTGTGATGGAGAGAACCAAGCGAAAGAGAGCACTAGTTATAGGATAGTGAGCGCAGGTGATTGTGTAAAGCTAGACATGCGTATGAGCAAATGGTAGTGGGAGACACAACGACAGACATATAGTGAGGCATGATGTGTAACTACATGCAGAGCAATGGTGGTGAGACAACGACAGACATATAGTGAGGCATGATGTAACTTCAGACAGAGCAAAGGTGGTGAAATAGTGACAGGTAGAAGGCGAACGCACCGCGTTTTTATCGGTGAACGGACCAAGGTACTGGCCGTTCTTTGCGGTCTCGGGATAAATGTAATGTCTCCGATGCTGGATTATATTACGCAACTAGTCCTCTGCATTAGTTGCTGCAGCCCTGCATGTTGTCTTCTGCAGGAAATATTTTAGCAGTCACGCCAAAACGAAGAATAGTAGCGTCATGGAAAGCCGAGAAACTACGAGAAGCACTAAAAGACGTTGGTATGTGTAATATAAATTTATGATCCTATTTTCTAACACATATACGAATTAATGCGTTTTTTGGCGCGATATTCCTTATGGCTATCGCAGTTGCTATACTACTCTCGATAGTAATTATCGTTTTGCCAATCTTTACTAATAAAACCCAAACAAAATCAAACCCTAAACGACCATGCATAATCATTCTGTAAATTTCGTACAGTCTTTACTCCCACACCTCGTAATTTCCTAACGTAATAAAAATAACACAAGTAATTAAATAATAAACTAATTAACGACGACGCATGTTATTGCTTTTGTTTTATATTGTGCTTTATGACTTAATCAGAGAGAGAGAGTTACGTGGGATAAATAAGGGAAAATCTGGGGTTGAATTTACACCGGAGGAGGAAACGAGCACGCGAGAATTAACCGACAAGTTTACGAACAAAAATCGAATTAAAATGAGCTGATGTTCCGACGCATCGATGTGCCACTATCTTTAAACATAGCGTCGCACGTGTCGCAAATCAGCCTTCAACTTCTTAATGGCTTAGTGAGTTACGCATATAAGTCTCGTAAGATTTCATGGTCATCGAGATCTTACTACCGCTATATCAAACTGCAGAGCGTGACATGCTGTATTGCTTATATCACAGTCGAGCCTTTTCTGCGAATAGTGTCTTTCAATTTCATGCTATAAAAATATATTTTAATTCACATTATGATCACTTAGTACTGAGTCAGTTTATAATATATTAAATTTTATTTATAAAAATTGCTAATATGTACCGGTAAAAGGAAATCTTTGGTAATTCGATAAAGACGAATAATGTGACGTATCACGAGCGTTATCGAGGTGTGAATTTTGCAGGATTTTACCTCAGCACCGATGTCATCTGTGTGATCATGATGAGACACATTCGTAAGGATGGCCTGCTATATTTTGTTGACTTCGTGTCATGTATTCTGCAACTATATGCTGCTTTCGGTAAATATAAACAATTTTTATTCCGAATTAGTATGTGTATAGAACACCTATGCGAAACAACAGGATCAGTATATATTATATATATACTGTTGTCACCTAATCTAAAGTTTTCTGTGTTATGGCAGTCATTATAAGCATCTAATGACGAACACGCATTTTCAGGTCAGTTTAATAAGCGGGATCCTGCCCACGGCGGAATTGTGAAGATGAATCTGAGTGACGTAAGTGCAAGTGACATCAGCTCTCGTCGCACATATGGCACAAGGAGCTGCGTGCCACAATTAATTAGCGACTATACTGGAAAACCTTGGTTCACTATTAGCTGCCAATAATTTTTTGTTCACTTTCTCTAGTGGATTCGCGCTGCAGTGCACACGTGACATCCTATGTTGCCGAGGAGCCGGGTTCAACTGTGAGGCAAGCGGCCGCGTATACAAGTGCAATATCACCAACATGAAATCACTCCTAATGTTCAAAACGTTATTAAAGCCGACTACCGCATGCTGAAGTGTAAAAATTATTGTAAATATTAAAGCTACACGATCAAAATTATAATTATTTTTTATTACACTACTATTATTTTTAATATATTATCAGGTGCAGATATAACAGCAAATACTGGAAATTATATTAAAATAGTAATGTGGTATTAACTTTGTTACGATGCACGTTTGCATAATTAATTCGAACAGTAAAGGTAAGATCAGGCAAGAAATTGGACACTTCAAATTAACTTTCAATAACGTTCACACTTTTCATCATCATTCTCCTATTTGTACTTTCTTTTAAGACGGGAAATTTTTGAAAAATAATGACTAAATATCAATCTATAGTTATTAATTCTGTCTAATTGTGACTATGTATTGTGTTTTTGTCACATATTGTGAACGTATCCGCTTATTATCGCAATAAACACGTTGAATATTTACATATAGTTTGACTTGATTTGTAACAGTATGAATGCATGATCACCTGCAGTGTCGAGACTCACTATAGCTTTGATAAAAACCAAACAAACTTAATAATTGTGCGCACACGTCTTATGATAGTATATTATCTGTTAAAAAAATGTATATTTTGTATATGTATAAATCTGTTATAATGGTGATTGCTTACATGGTGAACCGCAACACCGCTACAGGAAACAAGTTGAACATTTGCATTGTTGTGTTATTAGATTTCTTACAGTATGAAGAGAGGATAATCCGCAACGTTAATTCATAGCATTGCGAAATAGACTCAAAAAGGCAATTCAATCATTATGCGCACAAGTATTTTTTATCGTACATTAGTTCTAAATAGAGCAAGTTTATGTTGTGAACCATTAAGCCCACTGCTTTAGCATTAGCCCACTCCAATAGCCCCATGGTTTTTTTACTTTGCGTTTTCTTTTATAATGTTAAATACGATGGCGAAAACGATGCTAACTTAAACTATTCTTAGCTATTTATGCTAGCTTATATATACTGCTGAGCGCGGCGAGTGCTGCTCTAACTCCCTTTACCCGTGTAGCACATCGCTGCCGTGTTAAATCGCTGCACGGGTAGAGTTATTGCTTCTGACGAGTTTCACAGATGCTAACTTGGGATTCGTTATTTAGAGTTTTTGCAACGCGTCATCCTATCTCGTGTCCTTCATGGTGTCATTCGTTATCATTGCCTCGGTAAAACTTTCGCGACGTTGCAAAAAGCTATATTAAAACATGGTAGTAGGGCTCCGTTTTCACACGTACGGTATGCTTTTTACACGCAATAAACACAATTAATTATGTTTATTTTACATTTCTGGTTTGCGCTATACCTGCTGTTCAAATCAATAATCATGCCAGCCATTCAATTTTGGTGCACTCTCTAGATAAAATGGTCAAATTTGACAAAAAACTCATAACAGGAATGTTCTCGTTTAATTAATTAATTCGTTAAGTGCTCTTCGAGCCTCAATGGTACTTTTCCGTCGCTAAAATCGAAATTACCGGTCAAGTTAACGAGTCTAAGAGCCAGGAACGGTTTTTTTGTCATTTACACAGTCGCACTCAATCGAATGCAGCTGTTTTTCCCTACCGCGCGCAGAAATTGCTAGTGCGCGTTATTAGCCTCTAGAACGGATGAAACGGCCAACGCTTCTTGAGCATATTGCTAGTTCGCGTCTGCAATTGCCGGCTCCGACTCGCACAGTGGAAGAAGATCGGTGCGTGAGCAGCTCGTGTCCCGCCAGCCCATGCCCGCGCTTGCGTCCGCGAACACGCAGTTCAGCTGGCCGTGCGGTCGGTCGGGCTCGAGCGCTAACCAGCCGACGACTGCGCTGGAGAAGCAGGCGCGACCGGGGTGTCCCCACTCGTAGATGCCGTCGTGTCGCCAGTGGTCGTTGCCGCTCGTCCAGAATCCCGGCGCGTAGCCTGCAGGGCAGTTGCGAGGCACGTTTATCACGAGGTCACCTCGCGCGCGCGCGCACACACAGCTCGTCGTCGTGGGCCTCAGTTCGCATGCGGGGAATCGTGCGCCGCGCGTGTTCGTTCGCTTCTTCAGAACTGAGAATTCTGGTGAATGGGCGTCTGTTCGGCGACGTTTGCCGTCGACTTCGGTCGCAGATAAACGGACGTGTTTCTCGCTGAAAGTTTGTCGGTTCGTTTCAATATGTTGCGCATCACGTGCGTGTATATTGTTCGCAGAACCTCGCCGTTCAACAAGCAGAATATCAGAGCGACGAACAACCCCTGAATGAAAAGCAAAACGTCGAGTGTAAGATTATGTGACGTTGTAGAGATAAGAATTTCTCGATGTGTGTTAAGATGAGATATGATAAAACATCGTTATAGAATCCACTTCAGGAAACATGAATGCGTAATTGATTCACGGCTATATCGGCGAGAGAAATAGAGGGAATGACTACGGCAAGGTCACGTGCGTGTCCCGATCATCTGTTTGCATGAAAAGAGTACTCCCTGTCTGCGATTAACCATCTGCGAGACGTATTTCGTTCATTTTTACGTAAACGTATACATACATCATTCAAATATCGCATAAAAGATCTGAACTGCTTGCTGTTCAGCCTGACAACGCTTCCTGGTAATACTGGGGTTATGACGCCTAAAACTGTTCAGGTCTTTCTGCGAATACATGGACATCTCTCTTACATGTACATAGTCAGAACTATGGCACATGGAGCGCTTTCCCCATTATAAGAAAGTGACGTGTGTATGCGTACTCTTCACTATATGTAGGTATATAGCTCGATTAGAACATTAAACATTGAGGTGGCAAAATAATACCAGGAGGATATCATTTAGGGAATCGTATTTTTGTAAATCGCTTTGTGCAGATAATATTAGTTATGATAATTGATATAAAAAATTAATTCCAGTCCCCCGTGTGAGAGGGATTAGAGAGTGCATTACCTATATAGAGAGCTTAACAACTGACAAATGTAATATGAGGTACCCATCAGTGGATTAGCGTTGATCTATAGTTTCGCAAAAAGCAGACAAGGGAGAACGTATAAAAAGTGGGCATGAGCGCAATAAGAGGCATTTTACCGCGACTGCACAGCTCTTGTGTTTATTTCTTGAAACGACGCAGAAAATGGCGCAGACATTAGGTGTGATTATAGAACACGTTGTTCCGCGATTACGTGCTTTTTTATGTTTATTACCTGAAACGACGCGAAAAAGGCGTAGACCTTAGTGAAGACCTCTGCACCTGAGGTTCCTTGCGGAGGTCGATAAATCAGCAGTATGTACTGCGCACCAAACAACGGCACGAGAATGAGAACAGCGCGAACTGCCTTCCTGTAAGTGACATCAAACGAGTTCACGCGGGTTAATAGGGTAACGGTTCATAGTATAGCACTCAGTTTATATTTACTCACTATAAAAGTTTCTGATAATAAACGAATGCTTTGTTAAATGCGGTGATATAAATAGGCCTGACAACAAGCAAGCACAGCTGTTAAACTCTCGAGGTATTTGGTAAGCATAAGCCGTGGGGACTACCTATACATATGTATTGCCGATTGCAATCATATATGCAATAATAATCCCCATTATAGATATGCGCGCGTGCGCGTGTGCGTGTATAATATTATGTGTGCGTGCGTGCGTGCGTGCGTGTGCGTGCGCGCATGTGTGTGTCCGCGCATGTGCGTGTGTGTGTGCGTGTGTGTGCGTGCGTGCGTTCATGTGTGCGTGCGTGCGTGCGTGTGTGTAATATTATTACTGCCAACTATCACCAAATCCATGAGCTAGTATACATAGCCAGTACCGGCGATCGTTTGCGTGCGATAGGTCTAAGCGATGGCGATGCAACGACGGAGATAGCAATACTTGCCATGTCTGCTGCGGGTCAGGCGCATTCACTGCTCGCATCTTCTGCAGTAAAACTCGTACTATGTTGCATAGGAAAAACAGGTTTATCTGCAATAACGAAGAAAACTACAGCTGACATGATAGTTATTTGATTATTTTCGAATCTACTACTGTTTTTACAAGATATATATATATAGAGCAAATTTAAGATATATATTTATATATTTTAGAAGATATCAAACCTGAGATGAGGTTTTTGAAGTCTCTTTTGCTGGCATATTGGGACAACCGGCTCATCTCTTCCTGCGTGTCAATGTCTACTAGATGTCCTCCACGAGAATTGCAACTCTCTTCTGCACGCCACCAATCAACCGTGTCGTCTTCGTCTGTGGCGAATCTGGTCAGAAACATTTTACGATTTGTAATCAATGGGGTTTGCAGTATAAGTCTCCATCGCGTATCAGTACGACGTACGTTTCATGATCGTAGAATGCAATAGTGTAGGGTAAGATACCAAGCCGAAATTTAGCATTGGGTCCGTCACACCACCTCATGAAAATAGGGGTTTCTAATATTCACTTTACTCACTAAACGTGAATTTGCTCGAATATTTTTATCCCTAAACTCACTACTCGAAAGATTAGAATTATTATTTCTCGATAACCCGATATTCTTCAATATCCTCACGCATAAACGGTTTATGTCCCGTTGCATTGCGAAGTTGATATAAAATAAGGAACGTCAGCCGCCTACGCCATTTGGAACGACTCGACAAAGCGACAAAGAAGGGTTATTCCACTTGAGACGGCACGATGAATAGATTACAGAATTCAATAAAAATCTCGCACCTGTAGCAGCTGTCGTAAATCAATGTATACGAATCAGCGCACACCAACGTTCCGTCCAACCGAGCCTGTAATCGTTCCACTGCAGTGGCTGTCTTCTCCATCGACTATCATGCAAAACGAATGACACTCAGACAACCATTATGCAAAACAAAGAATCGCAAACTGTCCATTTTAGACCGTCATTCTTCTCTTGTCTGCCGCCCCTGCGCGGTCCCCCTGTTTTCTTATTTTGTCTTTGCACATCAGTAATATGTATATAGTATGTAATGATAATAGCAATTTATAACCATCAACAGTATCAACAAGCACAAAGGCAACTGCAACAACAGCAGCAGCAGCAGAAATAACAATAATAATAGCAGATATAACAAACAAATAATTACGTTTTACCGTAAGATTCATCAAGGGACATCAAGCGAAGAAAGTGGAGGTGGATTGGCCACACCTTACGCAAATCTAGCGACGCCATCGCCAGACAAGCACTGGTGTGGAACCCACAAGGTCAACGGGGAAGGGGCCGTCCAAAAACTACATGGAGGAGGTCGGTCGAAGCCGAAATCAAAGCCGATGGACACACCTGGGATACCATCAGACAACTCGCCCAACATCGAGTCAGGTGGCGAAGTTTTATCAGTGGCCTATGCTCCACCCAGGAGCCACGGGCGTAAGTCAAGTAAGTCAGTAAAAGATTATCTTAAAACGCATCATCGCTAGGTTTTAATGGCAATCTCGCCGTTTTTCCCCTTTTACGTGCATAGCGGTGCCTCGCGCCCCGGGTGTGTTTATGTCTCTCTCAGTTCCGCGATGTTCTATTTACCTTTCTTATGTTATCCAACGCTTCGGACACGTTTCTGTCTGTATCCTGCGACGCTGCGAGCGTCAGTACAAGCAGCGTCACCACAGCGCTAACCGTCAACATCATAACAGCAGTTATCGTGAAACAATATACAGAGAGGTGTATAGGTAATGATTCCTCTTTCGCAGAGTCCTGAATACTGACAGATGGATTACCAAGGACCGCGCTATATATACAGGGGCGTATACCCGGTGTCCTGGATGCTGCCTAGGCTGACTAAGAGCGCCATTGAGCGAAATATTCCATGCGGGTATAATAGACCGCAGAGAAAGCATTTCGGTTTGCCTGGATATAGGTCGACCTTGACACAATTAAGTCAAGGTAGTGCATTTGATCACATGCTGGATTTCAGGGATTTACTATGGGTTTTGCGATTGCAGGACCAGGGTCCGTTGTCAGAAACAAAATTAGCATTGACGTTAGTCTTAAAAGAAAACGTTTTCTAATGGACTGTTGAGAGTAACATGGTAGGCCTAAAGTTACGAATTTCTCATACACAGTGTATAGAGGACAGGTCTAGGAGGAAATGCTAATGTTGTGACTGATATCAAGAGAAACTTTTGTGTGTCTAACAGCAAAAGACAATGCCTTCAACACCGGGTCAGGTCCTACTGTCGTCATGTATGTAATATAGATCTATATTATACACTCCTGGTAATATGAATTACACGTGCGATCGCGCCAGCTCTCATCGCGCTCTTCTCTAATGTTTATATCTGCACCGTCTTGACACTCTGGGTTGGTTTCATTTTAAGCGCCTAAACCGCGCAATGACAGCTGCGACGAAGCACGTACGCACGCTGTCACCGGAGTCTCCACATCCAAGCTCGCAGCAACATCTCGCGTCAGTCTCCTCCCTCGTACAAGGAAGCGCGCGACCGCACACCGACGCGCTCTCATGGATGATAGCATCGGTTAAACAAACGCTGTCTCTGCTGCGCCGCCGCTCTCTGCGAACTCATAAATATTGTAATTATGATGGTACGACACATCTACACGGTGAATTGCATCGTAAGCAGTCGACTTGCGGAGAACATATTTAGGTAGGCGGTGGGTGAGAACCGCGGCAAGACCTAAATCCGGGGTTGCGGCAAATCTGTGCAGCGGGGAGTGCCGGCCTCACTCTGGGATACGCGTAAAAGCCCATTATGATCGCGACCGTCTACTCATCAGCAATTTCCGGCGATATTTGTCGGCGAGAACGACTACAAACTACCCGCGGGTGACATTTGATAGGTGTGACATTACACAGACTGCATGCGTCGTATCCCATGTTTGCTGAATCGGCAGAAATGGCGAGGAGATGAATTATATGGGGAATAGTTAACGGTAATGTGATCAATCTCGGGAGGCAGTGTGTGTACGCATGCACGCGCCTGTGCGTGTGCGCGCTTGTGTGTGTGCGCGCGTGTGTGTGTGTGTGTGTGTGTGTGTGTGTGTGTGTGTGTGTGTGTGTGTGTGTG